CTTATCAGCTTCTATGATTAAATTCTTAACTTTTGTAGCTCAAAGAATTATTCAAGAGAATAAACTTAGGGTAGCCTTAAGTTTGAAATATTTTTCTCTTTTATGTTGAATTTGCTTTCACTAGGAAAAGGAAGAGTTACCGTTTTCAAAAGGCTAAGCTGGACCATGACAGAAGGTACTGTGGGGCAGTAAGTTCAAGAGTGGACCATGCTGCGCCGTAGGTTTTGTGCTGTTAGGGGATATAGCACATACAATTTTTTACTCCTAGGAATATAAGAAACACCAGACTCTGAGTCAGACCCATGGACTGTCCAAAGCAGTGTTTGTTTCTGTCTGTGGTACCCAGGGTTGTTTTGTGAGAAAGCATGCATTTATTCTGTGATACCAGCCTCTAAAGGTTAGGGGGTGTGCCAAACATCCTGAGCTCCTCTCATTAGGAACAGTGTCCTTTCATTCACTTGAATTGGACTGGCATATTGAGCCTGGCAGGTCACTCTTATGTGAATAGCCAGCAACTGGATGCTTTGTTAATTGCAAAGCATATTTTTGCCAAATGATTTCATCCAAAAAGACATGTCATACAACTTTCGATTCTTTGACCTCCCGATATTTTTTATGTTATTCAGATAACTCACTGAAAATGAGTAGAGTAAGCCATGGCCATATGATTACAGGGAAACCCAGCATTTGGTTCTGAAAATAGGGAAGAATGGAACTGACCATGGTATTTGCTAAAACAAGATGCCACCCAAGGAAGTAGAGTGGTTCTGTTGGCCAGGATATAATCAGGGGAAGATTAAGCTTTGAGGGTCAGGACTGTGGAGGTAATTGTGGACTCAAACTGTCAGGTTTACATGGAGGCTACTCAACTCAAACAGCACATTTTATACTCATTTATGCTTTTAGCCAGATGACTTTTTTTAATGTTTCAGCATATTCACATTGTTCGCTTGCTGACAAGGCTCACAAGTAAAAATAAGACCCTTTTGTAGTGCTGCTTGTGGATTACAAGGCTAGCACTTGCCTTATTAGACAGACTAGGGAATATTAAGTTTTGACTGTGCAATTATAAGGAATATAATATGGGAGAGGGTACTTTTTAAAAATGCTCTTGTGTTGAGGGTCACTGCATTAGAGGATAATAGTTTTAAATGAAGCCACATTTCTAACACGGGACTAGATAATAAGGATAAATGAAATCTGCAGACAGTCTCAAAGCTTCATTTTAGCCATTATTTGTAATCTCTTCTCCTACCAAACCTTTTACTGTGTAGCAAAATTGATTAATTTGTATGTATCTATTTTTTCTGTGATCACCTGCTGTCTGATAGAGGAGTGAAAAAATAGAGAAATGGACAAGAGATGAAAGAGGATGGGGCTGAGGCCAGGTGGAGCTAGGGATGCATAATCCCTAAACTGGATAATCAACCCCAGAATAATCAAGATATATTTTTTGGTCTTAACATTAATCTTGATATTTAATCATTCTGAACAATGTTAAAAACAAAAGATTGTATAATAGCATTAATAAAAATCACTTGCTATGGAATGGTTCGGAATAAATATGGCTTTTTTAGCATGAAATATGAATCCGTTGAACTGGTCTTAATGTTCTATCAGCACACACAGATACAGCTCTGCTTAATTCCATATCCTCTTATCTATAGTCCTACATTTAATTTACTACCATTGGAGTTGATTTATAGCTTTGCTTAGCAAAAGTATAGTCTTGATTAAAAGAATATTATCACAGTTGATGGACCTTGAAAGCATTTTTATTTTCATAGACCTTCTAGTAATTTTGAAAATAACCTGCAGACCCATATGGCTAGATTTGCAAATTTCCAGTTTTTACCCACCTGTCTGTACTTCAGATAGTGGCAGGATTAGTTAAGGGTATGTTTGGTGACATGGTATTCTCATACGCTGTCTCCTTATCCATCCTTAGAAAGAGAAAGTTACTGTGGTAGCGTTTTAAAGATCTGCTTCGGGGAATCCCAGTTCCCTGGTTCGATGATCTTTTATTTAGTTTATAACTGCGGCTATAGCCTTTTTCTCTTGGGATGTTGTTGGGCCAAAGGATTCTCCAATCTGTATAAGGGAAGATTCAATTATTATGCATGAGGGTTACATTTTAGAGTTGCATCTGTGATAGATGCCTCCCTGAAACAATATGGAATTAGTTTTGGTGCTCATTTCATTGGAGATGACTGACTTTGCAAAGCCAGTGATTTCCACAGGTTGGCCAGAATTGGTCATTCTCCACAGCAGGCCATATTCCTCTTCTCCTGTTTTGATTGTGCAGTATGACTATTTAGTGGCTTGTGGTTCTAGGAGGAAAGAAAATGGTGTTGCTCAGTAGGTGACAGAAAGAAAGCTACTATGATTTGATTTTGTTAAAATCATTATTAGCATTCTCCTGATTCTACTAGCTGAAAAAAATGAGCCACTCTGGTTTTGGCTTTGTAGCTTTGTGGAGAGTATTTCTCACCTATGAAAAAAGTTCATGAAAAGGAGTCACGTTAAAACCACTATACTTACAGTTCAATTTACAGTGGCTTTCAATTGTTCAGAGTCATAGGAACCCAGAAAATAATTAAAAGTTGTAAATGTGTTACTAAATCAAAACTGGAGAATTTGGGTTTTTTTTTTCTTATCAAATTTGATGGTGGGACCTTCTCAAAATGCAGAGTAAATAAAGCAGTCTTATTTGTGAGTAATTTTTGTTTTGGCCAATGTGTCCTTTGTATCCATACACGCACAGCTTAATTAAGATATTCACATACCGTACAATTCTTAGCTTCTTCTAATTGTTAAATTACTAGACATTAAAAATCTGACATTTTTGTTCAAGAATACAGGATGTACTCCTGTAAAGAAAGGACTTAAGTGTCTAAATTACCCCCATTTGCCTAAATCACGTTTTAAAATCTTAATATGTAGCCACAGTTTGTCAGAACTAGAATGCTTATTAGAGGTTACCTAGTTCAATTAGAGTAAAAATTACCTGGGGAGCTGTTCTTTTTCCAAAATATATTTCTTGAAGCATGAAACCTCCTGAACTAATGATAAATGTTGCAGCTCCCCTTCCCACCCCATGCCAGTTAAATATCATTAATTTTGTCTGACACTCTCATCTCACAGATAGGGAGACATTCTTCCTATCACAATTTTGACTAGACACCTTAATAAACACCAAAATTCTTTTCAATTTTAACATGACAGATTTTTGATAAATAGAGTTGAAGTTTCAAAATTCACTTCAGTGGATGATGGAGTATAAATTACTTATGCTGTATATATATATTTTTAAAACAAATTATGAGGAATCTGATATTGTCAAAGAAAAAACATCAAAGCTACTGATCAGCAAGTCAGTATACAGAAAGTGTTGCAAATTTGTCATTGTCTCATCAGGCACTGGAGAGATTAGTGGATATCCTTTATCCTGGAAATGTCTGATAGCTAAGCACTCATATTTCTTCTCAGCTGTGTAAAGTCATTTCCCACAGGGCATGGGAGGCAGTGTTGTGTTCGTTTTTAAATATCTGCCCTGGTTGCATTTTTAGTAGAAAGAGATTCATAAAAATACTGATATTAAATAGATAGAAGAAATAGCCAGAGATGTGCTTTAATAATAATTTTTTTAAAAAAACATAAATTCTTCAGAAGACCTGACAGGCTCCAATGGATGGATGTGTAAAGAACTGAGGAAAGAATGAAATGGATTTTCCCAGAGGACTTTTTATTCCTGAAAAAATTGGAAAATCTGAGGCTGAGGGCAGAAGAAACAAAAGAAGTTTTCATTGACCCCTTTTCCTCTTCTAGACCTTTACATCCATACACATAGAAAGTATAAAGAGCTATGACTTTACTCACGTGCTCTGAAAAGAAGCCTCCATCTTGGGTAATAACGTTTACCTGGTCCTACATCTTCATTCCAGTACCTTGCACAACCTGACCCTCCACTTGGGAACCATTGATATGAGGCAACCACAGATCTGAGAGAACAGAATGGGGTCATTATGCTTTTGAAATTTCATTTTTATCAATGTTTACAAAGAAGTTAAGAACTTTTAATTTTGATCTTTAGCTCTGTACACTATTCTATGTGAGATATGAGGGGAAAGAACATATTCCTTTCGATCATATGTTAATCAAGGGAAAAGCACATTATTTAAAAAAAATCAGCAAGAATTGCCCACAGTTACGTAGATGCCCTTTTTAAGGATATCACCACAAGCTTGTTTTACATAAAAAAGTTACAGTGGTCTCTGGGCTAGTATATAAGGAGACAGCAATAATGCACTACAGTGAAGTGATTTGAAATCTTTATTCTTAAATTTAGTAGAGCTGTGTGAAGACAATGGTGTAGATGGACAGTGAAGGTCTGCCACTAGCCCACTCTAAGCTATTATGCATTTATAAAGAAATACTATCTACACTGGGTGATGACGTAGGATCTGGTTGTTTTCATTATTATTTTTCAATCTTATCTGATTGTGTTTGCTTGCCTACATATAATTTAAGGTTTTAAAGGGAGTAGACAGTTTGGGCGGGGATCAGCACCGAAAATTTTGGAACTTAATCAGAAGTGGTGAGTACCTGCAAAACAGGATGGTCGTTTGCTATATCTTTGAAGTCAGTCCCCTTTGTCTCTAGTTCCTTATTGGCATGAGCTACAATTTGGGAGTGGGGGCAGGATTTTTGCCATCAACCGTCTTATTCTACACACAGCTTCAGAATAGTTGTTCTGGTTTTCCAACCACAATATCATAGCCTAGTACATGTTGGGCACATGCAAATCAGTATTTACCGTCTCTATGGCCATCGTAATGGCCTTCAAATCCAACGTCAGAGCTTTGGAAACAGAAAACTGATATGTCCTTCTAAAAACAAGGGGAAAGGAAGAACTGCATTCTCTTGAAAATTAAATTATAACCTTTTCTTTCTGATTCTATGAAGAAGACTGTACTAATAAAACTGCCAATTTCTTTCAGGTGGGTGTACATGGCATTAGAATAGAATTCATCAATGAAAAAGGATCAAAACGCACCGCCACCTACCTACCGGAGGTTGCAAAGGAGCAAGGTCATTGTTGTACTTTATTTCATATGATCTGGTGAAGAATTTAAACAAATATACAAATTGAAATGCATTATCTGACCTTGCAGTTATGTCTGATAATTGAACAGTGTCAAATTATAAGAAATGACTCTTCCATCACTGCCACTGCAATGTCTGTATCAAGCCGGTGAAGTACTCACAGCAGTTGAATCCCTCCATTGAAGTTTGATGGCATAAACCCATAAGTGTAAATTTTTTAAAAAGCAGAATTTACATTAGTTAGGTTTCATTTTAGGCAACAATTTGCTACTGATTTGAAATGTCTTTTCCCATATTCCATTGTGGCATAAACAAGCTTTTTGTTTGACAATCAGCCACATAGTTCATTGTCATTGTAAGTATCAAATGTTTCATTCTTAGGTGCTTGCCATTACTCATCCTGCTAATATTAAGATTGTAAGTTTCCCATTAAGATCAGAGCATTGAGAAAACATGAAGTATTAGTGTTTTATATGCTTGGTCTACACTTCCTAAACAGAATTTTCCTATTTCACACATAGAGCATAGAACTGTATGAACCAACATTGTAACACAAAATAACTTTCCACTCTGTAAGTATTTTGTCCTTTCTTAGCAACTACTAAATTCTGGTTTCATGTTAGTTGACATGAATCTTTTATCTTGGGGAGCTTTTCTTCTCATCAGAAATCATTTGTAATTCGGTTTTCCCATGTTTGTCTTATAAACGTGACATACATTAATAGCAAAATTTCGTACCATTAAATCCGCAGATCAGAAAGTCTTCAAGGCAGTCACCTGAAGATTTATTTGGGTTGCTTTAGAAAATGTCTTAATCTCCTAGTATCATTAACTTTGTAAAGCAAACGTAAAAGATAGAGTGCCTCAGATATACCGTCCATGTCAGAACTAATAAAAATACCCTTGAATACTGCACACAAACTTGAATGATTACAGAAGATACCATAAGGGACAACAGTTACTGTGAGGTAGTATGGTAGTCCTAAATACTATTGAGTTGGCAAAATGGCATACAGGCTTTTCCCTCCCTTTTAAAGATGCCACTGTTAGAGGAAAGTACAACAGATATGGTTTGTTACAGTCATGACTGAGCAATTTCTGCCAGCCCCTTAGACCCCTTGCCTTCAAATGTGAAAATAAAGGAGCCAATGTTGTTTGACACTGTGGATAGCTAGAATTTAAGGAATGTGCTGATGACCCTTCTCTTGTAAAGGATGAAATCTTAGTTCTTCTGTGTGATTGTTTTTAGGACCAAAAGATTTGACGGCATTTGGTAACAGTGATAGCTGACCTCTACAAAGTCATTTTGCATTTAATGAAAGGTGTTTGTTACATGTGCTTGACGGATATTTTATCTGGTCAACTCTCCACAGGATGGGACCATATTCAGACCATAGACTCCTTATTGAGGAAAGGAGGATACAAAGCTCCAATTACTAATGAATTCAGGAAAACCATAAAACTGACCAGGTACAGAAAGCATTTTCTAGCACAAGGCTAACTTGTACATTTTGATGTGTACGCTATAATCCTTTGATTTCTTTGGTCTCTCTACACTTTCTTTTCTGAAACAGAGTGGAAATGAATGACAGGGTCATACTGAGGGTGGATACAATGGAATTCTGCTTGGCAGTAAACCCTGTATGATGTATGAGCCTATCTTTCCCATCTTTAGCTCTGTGTGATTACTCTGGCTTTTGTACGAGCAAGCCCTTGGAGACTTTAGACTACTTTATTGGAGAAAGTACTTGAATTAGCTATTGGCTAGCTTTTGACATTACTTAGCAGAACCCCAGGATTCTGATAAACAGTCCTCAAATTCTAATTTAACCTCAGAATTTTGGCAGTGATGGAAGTCTACCATGAAAGCTTGCTAGCTTGCTGAAAAAACACAAGTGAGCTAAACTCAAATGCTATATAAATTTCAGCATGGCAAAATAGGAATGCTTATTTTAAAAGGAAAATACCAAACATTTTAGGAAAATGGGCTGCTGGTTCCATTTATTTGAATTCCATAAAACTACATTGAATGCTTATAGTCTGAAAATGGCCTATTCTCAGCTCTGAGGAGTTACAAATTCAAAAATACATCCATCTCTGCTCTCCTTGAGTTCACAGTGGAGGAAAATAGAAGGGGCATGGACAAAATTATTAATCTAAGCCAGAATATAATGGATAATATGCGATCCATTCCCATGAAGTAGGGAAAGAAGACTTCTAAGAGAGTGGGAGGGGGATAACAGATGGTTTCAAAGAGGTAAATTGCAGACTCGGTTTGAAGAATTGGTAGAATATTTGACAGAATGTGCAGGAGGAAAGGGATTCCCTTAAGGAAGACCTTGTGAGTCAAGTGTGGTGAAGTACAAAGCAAGTTAGGAGAATGCAAAATAGTCTGATTGGGCTGGTCTTTCAGTGTAATAGAGAAGCTGATCATTAGAGAAAAATATGGCCCAGAAAGTAGGTTGGGCAGACCAGTGAGGGTCCTGAGTTTCAGAGTAATTAGTTTGGACCTGATTCTATAGGCAGTAGGTAGCTATTGAAGGATTTTAATCAGATGGAGTTGGGGAGGTAAAAGAATGGAATTGGAAATAGGACCAGGAAGCATTGGTATTATCTAAGAATCTGTGGCAACAGTCCAAAAGAGGTGCAACGGGGACCTTAACTAAAGCTGTGGCAGTGAGATGGGAAGAAAAGTGGGGATCGATATGAAAATATTGTGGAAGAAATGAAAGGACTGGGTCATCATTTAGAAATAAGGAAGTCAAGGCTTTAATCTAGATAAAAGGGACCAACGTAATCCTTTAACCAAAGTAGAGACAAGAGGAGCGTGGTAAGTTTATGCGTTGATTTTGGATTTGAGGTGCTTCTTAGGATATCTATATAGAAATGTCTAGTAGGTCAATGAAAATATATGAGCTCATGGCTAGAGATGATTGAAATTATAAGGATAGGGTTCACTGTGGGGGGGTGGTGAACAGTATAGAGTCAAAAGAACTGAATACAGAAACAAAAAAAATTCTACAAGGCAGGGATAGGAGCATTCAGAGATAAGGAGCAATCTGAGAGGCAGGGGAGAACCAGGGGCATGTGGAGGTATAGAACCCATAGTACCAGAGAGCTTCAAAAAGGGTGTGGTGAGCAAATAGAAAAGTCAAGCTGAATCAGAGGCAGCCTTCTGACAGCGATTTCTGTGGAAGAGTGGCAGCGGAAGCCAAGGAGCACTGAGCTGAGGAGTAGTGTGAGATGGGGATTGAAGGCAGAAAATACACATAACTGTTTGAGAAATGTGGCAGTGAAAAGAAAGCCAGACATGGGGAAAAACAAGAGTTCAGGATACCAGGATTAAGAAAAGTTGTTGTTGTTGTTGTTACTTAATGGTAAGACCTAAGTAGATGTGTGGACCAAGAAAGGAACAGTAAAAGAATCAACTGAAGAGATGCATACTGCTGTTAGAAAACTGAGGCTGAAGGGGCAATAAGAATTTCTAAAAGAACAATTTAAACAAGGAATAGTAGAGTGCAAAGAGCACTGGACTCAGACTTTGGATTTCCAGGTTCTCATCTTAGCTTTGCTAGTTACTACCTCTGTGACCTTGGGCAGTCACTGCTTCTTTCTTGGACCCCATTTGCTGATCTATAAAATTATCTCTAAGGTCCTTCCTAGCTCTGACAATGGCATGTTACTTATGTCTCGATGCTAACTTTTCTCTTCCCTGACTTTCTTTCAGGTATCGTAGTGAAAAGATGACCCTGAGCTATGCTGAATACCTTGCTCATCGCCAGCATCATCATTTCCAAAATGGCATTGGGCATCCCCTTCCGCCATACAACCATTATTCCTGACACTGAGCCGCACAACCAGTCACTGGGCCTCTCTGCAGACCTCTTCCCAGGAGACCCTACACCTTCTTGGTCTAGCTATCTCGTTTACTGTACCATTTTATGATGATAGTTTCCGTTGCCATGGTGAAGCTTCGACGTCGTCAGTTAAGATCATCATGGTAACGGGTAGGAAAATGGCATTTGTTAAGATCCTGTTTTATTATTTTAGATAATTGATTTTTTTGCAGCATATATAACTTTGGGGTTTTTGTTCCCTACAATATTATGTGGAATTTTGCTTTGCTATCTCAGTCAGGTTTCTGTTTTTCCATCCTTCTTGCCTTTCTTCCTGTTTTGCTTCCTGTTTTCCTATTTTCTTCCTGTTTTCCTTCTTCCTTCCCTCCTTCCCTTCCTTTGACTGTGGATGGAAGAAAGTGTGCAGTTTTTGGGGATTTTACTTGGGTTTGTCTTTAGTTTTCCTCAGTAAGATAGTTATGTTTTTTTTTTTTTTTTTTTTGATACCTGAGTTTTGGATTAATTCATATCAAATTCAGGTATTTGTATATTACTCTTGATTTTTGTCTGAAATTCACTTTGCTATGACAGTTTAGTAGTTGTGTCTTCACTCCTTAAGTATATGTTTTTTCCATGGTGAAGATATATGAACTTTAGTTCTAGTCGTGAGCATTCAAAGGTCCATGATAGGGCTTGTCACAGAGGGAAAGAAATCATTTATGCCTATTGTGCTGGTTACTATAGAAGAGACTGCCCGACCACTTTATAGAACCAATTTGCAAACTAAAACACTGTTTTGAGAAAGTACAAACTACCTTTCAAAAAGGCTACAGGAATCATTTATAAGAGCAGCAAATATTAGGAAGAGAGCAGATACAGAATTTAGTGCCTTTGAGAAGAATATAATTAAGTGGAATTAAGAAAGGTTAGAAAAAAGGCAATTTAGAAAAATATTCTTGTAAAATTTTATTGTTTCTATATGTGAAACAGCAGATTAGACAAATTTCTTACTCAAGTATTTTTTTAAGCTGAAAAAATTTATTTTGAGCAAATAACCAAAAAGAGACATTTGTCTATTTTATATTAATTTAAATTCATTAGCTCTAGGTTTCAATATATCATGATTGGCTAGAGTCAATTTTAGCTACCATCTAAAGATATGGTAAAAATAATTGAGTGAAACGAAAGTTCATATTTGCCGTGATTTCAGATATGTTTGTCATGGGGACAATACTAGAGTTTGAGAGATACTATAAAATAGCTTGAATCTCTTTCTGCACTACATACTTTTGATAGAAACACATTTACTACATTGATAAGATGTTATGTCACACCTGTGAAAATGGAGTTGGCATTCAGATATGCCATAGTTAGAAAATAGCATCTGCAGGGATAGTCTTCCCATGATGCATACAAAGAGAACTTACTGAGGTCAATAGGAGGTCCATACATATATCCCCAGGAAAAATGACAGATTATTCTGGAGAAAGATGGCCTTCATTTTATGGTTATGTGTGTGTGTGTCTGTGTGTGTCTATGTGGTGTACATATATATATATTTCTCCATGTATATGTGTGTGTGTATATACATGGTGTGTGTGTGTGTATATATATATATCTATATATATATATATTTTCCATATATATATACCATACACACACACACACCTTTGGAAAAATATATATAATTTTTTCAAACAGGAAGCCAACATATCAAGTGATGAATTAAAGTATGCTGCAGAATATATATTCTAAAACTATAAGAAATATCACTGAATATCAAAATGATATAGCTTATACATATAGTTGCTGTGACAGGTGACAGACTGCTAGTTCGAAATTCAAAAATCCTTTCCTAGTTTGTGATATAATTGGCTGAATTCCTTCTGCTTGCCACTGGGGCAAAGCAAACTGCTTTAGTTTTTGATGACAGTTCTTAGAAGTTTGTTGGTATTCCTTCATCCACAGCATCCATTGTTGAGATAACCATTTTCAGTTGTGATGCCTTAAACTAAGAAGCCAATTGTTAGCCTGAAATGCAATCTTGGTAGCCAGTTTCAATGAATCTAGAGATTGGTCAGAAAAAGCTGTTGGACTTTAGAAAGAGATTTTGAGTCCTGTCATTTCTACTTGGGAGCATTTTGGAGCAGATTAGTCTTTCAGTATAAAATCAAGTGGCTACCTGATAGAAACTTTCTTACCCTTATAGGGAAACTGCTGAGCACAAGCTGAATGATATTGTCTGCTGCAAAAAAAAAAAAAAAAAAAGTAAATAAAACAAGCAAACTGAAGAGAGACAAAATAGACCAATATTATCGTGAAATCCATCTTATCCATCATCTCATCAGTTCAACAGGCTCCTCGTCCCGGGTGAGCTTATGGTTAGAAGTTTTTTAGCAAAGATTTATTACATACATAGATGTGTGTGTGTACATATACTTATACATACATACATATATGTGTGTTTGTATTTAACGGTGCTAATCAATCTTGAGCAGGTCACGTGACTGGTCATGCGGACTCTAAAATCATATCAGATTTTTTAAAATCCTTGATATATGCAGATGTTATACAGATTTTCTTAGCAGTGTAATAATGTTATACTGAAGAAATAACCATCCTGCAGGCTTCAAAGGACGAGGTCAGCAATATTTCCCAACATGGCTTGGGGGAAAAGGATAGTTTTGTCTCCTTTTGTATTCAAGTTAATGCAAAGTGCATTTTGTCTCTAAGTAGCTGTTGACTAAAAGATTTTGTAGTGTAAAGGGTGTTATACAAACTGTAATGGTGTGCTTCAAACAAATGCTAGACCCTTTCACCTTTGTCATATATACAAAGCTGTTAAATATGTGGTATGAATTAACTTTGAACATGTTGAAATATGTAGCATGTCTTTAACTCAGACAAAGATTCTAATTGCACAGGTTGTGTTTTAGCCAATTGTGGTTTATTTGTTCAGAAACACAAATGTGAATTGCACTCTTATCATCAGAATATTATATGAGTTCAGTGATCTTTAAACAGCTCAGAAGTAATACTTGAACTTCATTTGAGTAGCACAAAGTTTACATAGCCCCTTTTAAATGTTAATTTGTTCCATTTAAGTTTTTTGTTTTCAAATGCAACTGGGTATTTTTCTTCTTGGAAGTAGTATGTACTTCGCTTTGGTATGTAGCAAAAGGCTTCCATTTCTGGAAGGGTTTTCTTGTTCTGAAACAAGGTCAGCCAGGTACCAGATTCTAAAAGAACAAACTGTCCCCCACCCCTCAAGTGGCCTTCTGACTGCACGAGAATGTGCTACTGTCCTCTGTAGTCTCCCCTAACATGAGAGGTCGGTGAAATTGATGGAGGAAGTGCAAGGCTTGCTTCCCCCAACCCTTAAAGCTTAAAGCAGTTATAATATTTTCAGTCCAGCACATACAGTCCCAATGCCCAGCACACCGGAAGTTTGTATACTGGCCTCTTGTCTTCAAATGTGCAGGAAATTTGAAACTGTCATCTGGAATAGGTTCCATCTCTTATGTGTGATTGATCAAACCAAAGAAGCCCCCAGCCATGCCCAAATGCTGCTTTAAAAGCCTGCCTTCCAGTCCTTACAAAAACCTTGCAGGATTAAATGTGTTAACTTTTTTATTTTTGTACAGTTTCTAAGTGATTTTTGCTAGTGATGTTAAAATGAATTAAGTTTATTTGAGGAGTGTGAGCACCTCCTCCATTTAAATAAACTGGTGACTTTCCTTTTATTTTTTAAAAGTGGAAACCCATTGTGTGCCTCTCGATTTAAGGGTTTCTGATGACATTATTCTTAAGACCAGCATTGATCCTTTATATACAAAGATATGTTTTCCTTGTTTTTTATTACTATTTCAGAAGAAAATGAACCTTTTATTTTGCTCTGGACCCAGTAACTGCGCTGGTACATAGACGCACTGAGCAAACAAACTTTTGTAACCACCTCTGACTACTTTTGTATATCAAAGTTGATTACTTTTGAAATATTTGGATCTAGTTTCTAAGTTATTTTAGTGTTTTATATGTTCCCCAAAATTACTTTGAATCGGTCACCAGCATAATAATGAGTTCTTGGTGATACAATGGTGAGACTTGTAATGAGCAAAAAGCTACCTGGAGTAGCTCTTCTTTTCCTTCTCTCTTAGCAACCTGTTTTTTGATTACCGTAAGACATCGCAGATTACCTGAAACCCCTTCCAGTATAAGTAGGCCCTCCTTCCTTCCACATTTAATTGCTTAATAGTTTGAAGAAACTATTGGAAATGGGCATTTTATATGACATGTATGGCTTTAAAATATTAAATATGAGCAAAAAGAAAAAAATATGAGAAGGTTTATGTGGGTCTGTAAGGTATGGCTGTGGAAAGATATTGTAGTAGTTTTGACACTATTGTTATTACCTTTAAAATCATTTACCCAATAAAATGTTAAAACTGAGTTATAAGCTTGTGTTTCTTTTTTAAGTTTAATCTGTCTCATCATAGGATCTTGGTCTCGTTGGTACTTCTTACTAAAAGGTTAACAGTTGAAGGCTCTGAAGGAATATAGTTAGGAACAGACACTGATTGATTGCCAAACTAACACTTGGGGAACCTTACCTGCTGGCAACTGCTCCCTGCCATATGATTTGCCAATGTTATCCTTTTGTCTATTTCTGAATCCTGGTTTGCTGATATAGATTAGCCTTTATTTGGACACCCTAACCTGGCCACATCGATCCTTTAAGAATCCTTCAGATCCTTTGCCATAGATCTCAGGCAAGTATCAGACTTGAACTCTGGCAGGAGCTTTGCTGTGCTTAGGTCTGCTCTGGATTTCTTCCAAATCAGTCAGTGGTTATTGGGCATTTCCTCATTGTTATCTGGTAGGGGGAAGCAGCAGTGCTATTCAGTGAAATCATCTGATGTGGGGACCCTCTCTCCTACCACCAAGGCTTGTCCATTTTCTGAATACAGTACAGAGTCTGAAAATGCGATTGAGCATTTTCAGAGCTTGTATGCACCCATACACACACTAGGCATACCACATGCTTACACTTATTACCACTTATTTTTTCCAGTTCCAGATTGGTAACCCCAACTTGTGCTTGGGGGAAGCACCTGTAGTGCAGGGTAGGGCAACTGGTGACTTTCAAGGGCCAGATAAGAGCCTATGTCAAGAAAGGGTTCTCTCAGGGTGCTGCCTCTGCCTACTGTTGCCTTATCCCTTTCTCTCTGGAAAGGCTACCAAGGACATTGTTGAAATACCTTTGGCTTTTTCTAAAACATTTGCTGTCTCACTTTCATCATGCACATTTTAAGATCCGTTGCTAGTTGAATATATCCAGGATGACTTTCTGTTACATTGCCCCAAAGCCCTGGTAACCATGTGAATTTTGTGACCCGTGCTTATGTCCATCACAGTGGCTAAAAACTGTTCACAGATCCTGGAGGACTATTGCGGTTTTGAACAGTGCTCCATAAAGGCAGCCATCTGCTCAGGGTTTACCTATTTTCATCATTCATATTTAATGGGATGTAAGATTTTTTAATCATTTAGACAATATTAATAGGTTCAGGTAGAATGAAGTAGTTTAATGAGACCACAGCATTGTTTTTTATAGCATTAGTGGTTAACTCTGGTCTGGACAAATTTCAACTTCAGTAATCACACTCCACCTACCTAAATTCTTCCCACAGTTTCAGCATTTCCACTTTAGATTTCATGCCCCGCTGGACACTGTCTAAATGCTTTACTGCTTCCGAAGGCAAGTGTGGGCGTGTAGGATGAAGCAGTGTCTCTCTGTTGCTGGGAAATACTACCATATCTAAGAGGTCCTATCAGTATTGAGGGAAGGAGAAGTCTGCAGTGGGGAAGTCACACCTGGATTCAGAGCTGCCAGCCAGGAGAGCCAATGAATGACTGCCCATTCAGAGAATGGCTTTACCCACTTCCTGAAGTTTCAGCCACATAAGCCAAGACAAGTGTGGGTTTGGACTGGGGAAGCTCTGATAGGTTCCCATCTGTATGCTCAAGCTTTTCACCTACAGGAGGAAGAAACGAATGGGAGGGTGAAAGTGAGGAAAGCCAGGGGTATACTGTTTTTGGCTACTGCATTAAAATACCTTCCTTGACACCTGTAGCCCCAGATGGGACAATCTCATATTCCAAGGCTTAAACTTGTTGGAAGAAATCTTTCAAGAATTGGAGAGAATCACATTAGGTCTCAAGCACTGTTCTGAAGCCAATCTACCTCCTCACCCCAAGAGTTTGGTTGCAACCTTGTTTAGAAATGACCCCTTAATAAAAAAAAATTGCTATATATATACAATGGGATATTATTCAGCCATAAATAACATTGAAATTCTGTCATCTGCAGCAACATGGATCAGCCTGGAGGACATTATGTTAAGTGAAATAAGCCAGACACAGAAAGCTAAAGAAGTTGATCTCATAGAAGTGGAGAGTAGGATAGTGGTTATTAACAGCTGGGAAGGGTTGGAAGAGTGAAAAGGGAGAGGTTGGTTAAAGCAGAGGTCCCCAGTCCCTGGGCCGTGGACCACAACTGATCTATGGCCTGTTAGGAACCAGGCCTCACAGCAGGAGGTGAGCAGTGGGAAAGCAAGCATTACTACCTGAGCTCCACCTCTGGTCAGATCAGTGGTGGCATTAGATTGTCATAGGAGCACAAACCCTATTGTGAACTGCACGTCTGAGGGATCTAGGTTGTGTGTTGCTTATGTGAATCTAATGACACCTGCCCCATCTGTGGAAAAACTGTCTTCCATGAAACCAGTCCTTGGTGCCAAAAAGGTTGGAGACCACTGGGTTAAATAATAGAAAAATACAAGTAGGGTGGAGGAATGAGTTCTGGTGTTCTATAGCACTATAGGGTGTCTATAGTTAAGAATTTAAGATATATCTTTGGGCCGGGCTCGGTGGTTCACGCCTGTAATCCCAGCACTTTGGGAGGCCAAGGCGGGTGGATCATGAGGTCAAGAGATCGAGACCATCCTGGTCAACATGGTGAAACCCCATCACTACTAAAAATACAAAACATTAGCTGGGCATGGTGGCGCATGCCTATAATCCCAGCTACTCAGGAGGTTGAGGCAGGAGAATTGCCTGAACCCAGGAGGCGGAGGTTGCGGTGAGCCGAGATCGTGCCATTGCTCTCAAGCCTGGGTAACAAGAGTGAAACTCCATCTCAAAAAAAAAAAAGATAAATCTTTGGATAACTAGAAGACAGGATTTTGAATGTTCCCAACACAAATGATAAATGTCTGCTGTGACAGATTTGCTAATTATACCCTAGTTTGACCACTATATATTGTACGTATTGAAACATCACTGTGTAGCCCATAAATATGTGCAATTATGTATCGATTAAAAAATTAAAAATTACCTCTTTATTATGTTTTGAAGGTACTAACTATGTATCTTAAAATGGACCCGCCCGGAGACCTGGTGGAGGGTGTATGCTGTATGTAAACCAACAAGGTGCGCTTGGCAGCTTTTCATCACGACAGACGATTACTTAGTTTGACAGAAGTGAGATGTAGGGTATGCGCTCTTGTCTGCAGCACACAGCTGGGCAGTGGCTGAATTACATGCCTCTATGCTCACCAGCTGCCATGGCATCTTTGAGCTCATGCTCCCATTCTAAAGGCACATATCCAAGTCACAAGGGGTGGATAATTTGTTCCCCCTTTAGTCTCCCTCCATGACGGGAGAAGCTCTTGGTTTTTCAATCAGAATCTTAGTTGGCACCTCATTATGTTAAAAATCAGATTGAAAACACTATTTCATTGCTATTAAGCACAAATGTATACAAGCTACTTATTAATGAGAACAAGGTTGTTTCGATGACTATAAAATGTTGCAATTGGGTTGAATGACAGTGAATAGTCTCAGCACTCTATTTCTATGTTTTAGCTATTCAACAAGAAGGTCCTGATTTGCACAGAGATCAGATTGCTTAATTTTATGAAAGTGTGTACATAATAGGTTTAAAGTGTAAAAACCCAGCACAGTCCACAGCTATCTGAAGCTTAACAAGAAGTCTGGGCAGGAGAAGCATGACTCCTGAGGTTTGAAGACAAATGAGTAATCTGACGGCTTCTGCTAATGCACTGGTGGTCTTCAGTTGCCATTCTGGATATAACTTATTAGATGTTTGTTAAGTGTCTTTTGTTTTTATTACAGTTGCAAAACACAGCGTATTTCAACACACACATTTTTTTAATTAAATGTTTATGGAGGGACGGGCACAGTGGCTCACGCTGTAATCCCAGCACTTTGGGTGGCCAAGGCTGGCAGATCACCTGAGGTCAGGAGTTCAAGAGCAACCTGGCCAACATGGCAAAAAAATTAGCCGAGCATGTTGGTGCACACCTGTAATCCCAGCTACTCGGGCAGCTGAGGAAGGAGAATCGCTTGAACCCGGGAACCAGAGGTTGCAGTGAGCTGAGATTGCGCACTGCACTCCAGCCTGGGTGAACAGAACAAGACTTCATCAAAAGAAAAAAAAGTTTCTGGAAACTTGAGGCTGTTTTGACAGAACCCCAGGATCCCACAGGACAATCAAAACCACTGCTGGAGCCTCAACATACCCAGTTATTTTGAGAGCTTTTGGGAAGCCATCATTTGATTTTTTTTTTTTTTGGCCTTTTCCTCCCAAATGTCAGGCTCAACATGATCCATCAATATTTATTGAGTGCCTGTCCCTCCAGAGGCACAGCACCTTGCTTGGTTCCAGAATAAATATAGTATAATTTTGTAAGATAAATTAATAATCCATTCTGGGCTAAAAGTTGTAAGGAGCATATGAGTTTGGTCTAGTTGGGTAAAGTCCTTCAGACTGGGGCCCAGGTAACATTAGAGTTTTTTATAGGGTTTCACTAAATAGCTTCCACCTCTGTGGCATTAGAACATAGTTGTAACTGCCCCTGTTGAGAAATTATATTTCCTTGCACTCCAATATGTCAGCACCAGAAATCACCCCATACTGGGCATGATCATGATTTCTTGAGTGAAGGAGATTGTTCCCATAATGTGGCTCTCTTGCTCCTTAGCAGGAATACGCAAGGTGGCTGGAAGAGAAGTGATGTATAAGAAATAGGTTTGATCGAGACCATCCTGGTCAACATGGTGAAATCCCGTCTCTACTAAAACTACAAAAAATTAGCTGGGCATGGTGGCGCATGCCTGTAATCCCAGCGACTCAGGGGGCTAAGGCAGGAGAATTGCCTGAACCCAGGAGACGGAGGTTGCGGTGAGCCGAGATCGCGCCATTGCACTCCAACCTGGGTAACAAGAGCG